AGTGCAATCTGATATTCCTGTGAGGGACTGTTGGTGCAGTGCACATGACACAGCTGTGCTTCTTTGAGGTGTTTACCAAGTGACCCAAAGAGTGACTTCAGCATAGGAGGGTTAAGGATGAATACCCTGGACCACTTTGCGGCAGTGTACAGCAGTGGCCAGCTCCTTCGTGTGACAGGGGACAAAGCCCTTCCACTGTACTGGAAATAAGCGCTCAGATAAGAAACAACCAACGTGTCATGTCATTACATGGTATTTCCATGTACTGTGCCAACTGACCGCCTGGAGCCAACACGTTCTACTTACTTCTCGCTAGGAATCCTGTAACTAAATTTCAAATGTAAAGAGGTCCTAATCTGCAACTGGAAAATTCCAGGTCACAATTGATTTCAACTTCCAAAAGGCATTATAACATTTTCATAGACCCCTCTGTTTACAGCTATCGCTCCTGAGTGCCTCCACCAAAATATTCAAAAACCCAGTCAATCTGACCAAAATCCCCTGATTTTTGGAGCAACAAAATTTACCGACAAGCAAAGCAAACAGGCATAAATAAACTGTAATGATTTCTGTAATGATTATTTTGAGAGTTTAAAAGTGTATTTATATCACGGCGAGTTCTATTGCGCAAGAATGATGTCTTTGAGATCCTTGGCCGCAACTCACTGCTCCAGGAAGGAGGGCTTGAGCTCGTTGGCCGACTTGGGCCGTATGCTGAACTGCTTGAGGGTGGCCTCCAGGGCCTGTTGGTTGCCCGAGAAGTAGGCGGAGATGGCGTTGTGGAAGAGGAGAAGCTGTTTGTGCATCACCTTCACCTGGTGGCAGAAACGGGAAATAACAGGAGTTTGGAACTCTAATCCCCCAAGGCATACATAAAATACTTCTGAAATAGGAGAATCAAGGTTGCCCGCGGCAGTTCAAGGTCTGGGTGTGAGAGCACTGAACGGTGCACAGCTTCTACAGAGACGTGTGGTCAAGACCTCTTTAAGACATCACAAGACCCCACAGGACAAGCACACAACCAACACAAGACCTCCAGTGTGAGTTCAAGTCACAAGCTGTTCTAATGGATTGCAACAAAAGCATTGATTTCCAAATGTCCACCATGCTCCTCCTGAATGGTCTTGCAATCATCTTGACTACATCATTCGACAGTGTTCCCTTAGGCCCAATTTAATAATTCGGTATCCAACAGTGCTGTAAGCCAGTCCACTACAAACCTTTCACAACTCCCTTTACAAGTCCAATCACAACAGCATAAGTATATACAACAGGGTGGGCAATGAGAAAGTTTCAGTTTACCAGTTCACTTGACTACCTTGTGACTTAGCTTAAGATGGGATGACGAGCGATGGACTTGCTGGGACTTGTGAAGGATTCGACAACAACACTGCTCTCAAGTCCTTTTACAAGTAAAAAGATAAATCAACGATCTCGCCCTGTTCACTTATATATATTCAGTGACTCGACTCAAGACTGGATGACTTATGAAGGATTTGCGGGAACACTGAGGACTTGTGAAGGACTTGAATGCAACTACTTCACTCACTGGAAAGGAGAGGTTACAAAACTCAAACAGGAACAAAATTTGGTATGATCACAACAACAGACGTGTAGATTTGGATTCTTTTTTGGTAAATTACCAAGACTTGCGACCTCACAAAACAAAAAACTCCTTCATTTTATCAGCCAAATAACAGAAACTTGCTCAATCAAGCAGGTATGAAAACCCCACACTTTATAAATGAACACAGGCCAGGCAAAATGTGTATTACTGAATTTGTGCTTCCTTGCTTGCACTTCGAAGACAGATCAATTACAAAATGTAAATGCAGAAATTCCAGCTCAAATTTAGACATGACCTCTTTGGGGTAAATGCTTTCTAGCTGGCCAGAAAAAACTGCTTTGGCAAAACCACAATTTGCAGCACACTGCGCACCTTGTTCTCTTCCAAGAATTTCAATTTGACGGCCACATCCTGCCTGAGCTTGTCAAATCTCTCCTTCTGGCCTTCGTACTTGACTCGGGCATCATGTAGCCTGGCCTGAGTCGAGGCGTCCTTGGGGGCTAACTGTAAACTCTCCAGGTCGGCCCGGTAAGCATCATATTCTACCCTGTTGGTAAAAGGTAGCAGACCTTTAGCCTTGTTCAGCCACGCTTTTAGCCCTTGTAACAGCTAGTTGTTTTGAATACAATCCTTGAAATGTACCTTTCTGCGCTGAATGCTAGGGCATGCAGCTGAAGTTCCAGTCTTTGCAAGTATCCCTTTCAACTTCTGACAATGTTGGCAGGGTCTTTTTGGCCTGATACTGATGCTAAACCCAACACTCAAAAATCCTCCAATTGATAATTTATGTGTTCAATGGACTTTGCTGGATTAGAAAAGTACATCACATCCAATATTACTTTATGTTGGTACTTGATGCCTCTTGAAATTGTAAGTACCAACAATGTCCCACTGTTTTTCTTTTCATACACAAAAGAATGTGGTAAATAGGGCAAACTGCACAGATTTTTCTAAAATGGAATGTCTGTCTTCCTAAATACACATCTCAACATTTTCACCGAAGTCAGTAACCACAGAGTAAGCTTTAATATAAAGGGAGTGATATTTTGATGGGGCAATGTCTTCAATTGCCTAATTTGAAATTACATTTGGAGGTAAAAAAGCACCAAAGCTCCAAATATCATTGACTTAAATTCTTAGGAACCTTCTTGAAGCCTCGAAATTGTGTACGAGAAATAAAGGCAAACTCTTTGTGAGGGGTACCAAATCCTATGTAGTGCAATACTGACTGAGTTTTACTTGGCTCCATCCTGCCCAAATTGCATCAAACCTAAAGAGGAGTTTGATCTGAGAGGGTAACAGCTAACAATGACGGAGTGTGGGAAACCTACCACTGTGCTGACGTCCAGGGAACGCTCTTTCGGTGTGTGAAACTTGACCAAAAAGAGGGGTCGGGCAAAAAGCCTTTGTTTGGACTTACACCAAGTCCACAATTCAGTCTCAAAAACCAGAGTAAAACCACTGACAGGATTTTGCTTTGGGCATTTTTCCCCCTGCATTTCCTTCAGACATTTTCCTTCCGACTACATCTGCTTTTGGTCAAACAAACACAACAGGTGGTCAGAATATGGCCAATGTCGGATTGTAATTTCACATTCTGCTCTGTGAAAAAAACTAGGTATCATGCTCAATGTACATGTATGTAAAGTCCCTCATTCCATCATTGTAAGGTATACAGATTAGAAATGGACAGATTTTGGGGGGTTAGAAAAATATCTTGGATCTGCCAACCAACCTGGCCGACTCGTACTGCTTGACAGTCAGCAGAGTGTCTTCCATAGTCTTGTTGCACAGCGTGCTGACGCTGGACGTGAAGAACGTGAGCGCACCCAGCAGGGTCTCGCCGTTGGTGCACAGTGACTTCTGTGTCTCGGCGTTGTAGTTGAACTCCTCGGCCAGCTCCGTGGATTTCTGGGCCAGCTCGGCAAAGGCATCACCAAGGGATCGTTGCGTCTGGACAACCTGGACATCGGAGGAAATCACCCGAATTAATTATCTTAATTACAAAAAAACCCCACAATAATCATGGACAAATATCAGCGATTAGACCCAAAACGAGGCATTTATATTCTTGGACAGCAGTCCCACCTGGTAGAAGTGGTTGGTCAACACCCGGGCCAGCTTCATGATGTTGCCATACTTGCGCTGCGTGTCTCGCAGGACCTCAATCTGAGCCTCCAGCTGCAGGTCCACCGTCCTGGATGCCTTGCCCAGCTTCTCCTGCACCAGCTGGCGTGTGCACTTGTAGGTGGAGATACTCCAGCTCTTCAAGCTGTCCAACTGGAAAGACGACAACGTAGAGGCCTTGAAATCAACTCGCATACTGAATCTATACAGTGGCTTCATATATCAATGTGTCTAAACTGGGAGTCAACAACGGGCCAACTTTTTCGTAGGTCTACAGTTTACTTTTGGCACTGATGAAGCAGTGACAAAAGCTTCCACCTCTTTGCAGAGTGTACAAAAACGAGATGTGCCTGGAACAGAGACAAGCAACCGGTACTTGTACATGGATGTGCACGCTATGTAATTCCCTTGCCAAGCTGGCAATACATTACCCATGTTGGCACAAAATATTCCGTAACAGCTGGTGGTGATTCCGTGGGCAAAGCCATTAAACTATCAGACTGCCATTTAACTGCTTACTAACAGTTCGCCCCCCAAAAAAACAAAACCCTTTCACACTAATTGATAATTACAGTCTGCTACTCAGTTACAAATGCGCCAACATATGCAGTATGTACTGACTGTACACTGTACATGTACAAGCAAAAGAGCATAATACCGGCTACCGCAGCACAGCTCAAAAGCCTTACAATCTCAATATTTGAGATGTTAATGGCAGTTTGTCTGATACGCCTTGGAGCGAGGGAAAGCCTGCGTGTTTGTTCTGACACCCCTGCTGATTGGTGACTGGTGGAATGCACTTTGCCGGCGCATTCCTGCTGGGTCTGAGGATCAACGTAAACGGAAGTGCCATGAGCTTCTGTGGCTGTCTGAGGTTGTACCTAATTCTTACACAAATTTACGTATAACAGATGTTCTCCTTGCTCCGTCATGGCCGCCCTTTATGTTAACCCCCAGTTCTTCAAACCATCGGGCAACCCCTAATGCACATCTCACCCAGGCATATTTGGCTGATTGGCCCAAATGAGGGAGGTCCACATAGTCTTTGAATGTACAAAGGTTGTGGGTAATAAAAACTGCAAAACGTGGCTGAATTAAACAACCTTTGGCTCGGGTTAACCAAAAAACCAAAACCCAAAAATGTGATGCCAGAAAATTTTATTTGCTTTGGACAAAAATTTTTAACGCAAATTGAACGATGATGATTTCCGATAGTAATTAGTCGAAATTCAGCAACCCAAAGTATTGGCTCTTTGAGGCGAGATACGACTATTTCGGCAACTCCAAGTCATGTTCACGCCTTCAATCCTCCCAAATATGTCAAGAACGTGTGATAGCCTACATGTCTAACAAATGGTGCCAAGAAATATGATTTTATGCACAGATTTGTGTGCAGAGCTTGACCAACATGTAAAGCTGAATACAACTTGCCGGGTGGCCCTCCTCCACATTTGATAAATATATGCACAAAACCCACTGTAAATCATCCAATGTGTGGAGTCATTGCAACAAATCACATAGATTTTATATTTGTCCGGCATGCCAGATTTCACCAAGTGATACATTTAACTAAGTGATACCGTACATCAAAACAGAGAGACTTGTTTGCACCTTCTAGTGCTAGCAGAAACAAAATTACTGGGAAAAAGACCTTTAAGACTCATTTTGTGGGATCTGGTCAGATTTGGATGTGGCCTGATTTTCTTTACCTTAGCCTTGGCCATGACGGAGGTGGACACCTGGTCTGTTGTCTGCCCGGGGGCCGGCGGCGTGCTGGTGAAAGTGGTATTGCCAATACCGGTCATGGGCTTCCCGACAGGTGTTGTCTGCGCCGTCGGCATGGTAGCCACAGGCTGGACAGCAGGTTGCACAGCAGCAGCAGGGGCTGCTGTTCGGACAGTCGCTGTAAAAGACAGACATTACATGTGGGTGGTCGGCAACAGTTCGGTGAGTTTGGGCTATAACCATTTGTTGACCACCTGTCAATTTTCCCAGGTAACCTGCGCAGAAAATGTATCCTGCATAACAGGCAAAATCAACCAGTGGTTGACAACGGCTGCCATTCAAACTTACCCATGTACGATCAAGTATTGTATATCCCATTAATTTTAAAAAACACAGTTGAAAAGTGGGCAGCCTGTATTCATGGTGCCTTGCTCCAAAGCTGGATGAGCCTGCCCAAATATTTTCACAAGCAAATCGGGTGCCTCAAGGCTCTCCATCAGCGACAAATTCTGTTTGTTCTCCCTGAAGTGCAGAGACCAACATGCGAAGGGACCACTACTCCGCCATGTCTGAATAGTTTGGCAGAGCTGGTGTCGGACACCGGCATTCAAAGCTGACAGTTTAAAAATGGTTCACCGTCACAAGCTGCATGTTGCACACTGTACGGTGCAAACATACGGTTCATGTGACTACGGTAGCACATTCCCACCTGGGCAAAAATACATATATGTACATATATGCAAATGCAAATCTATACACAAGTACACAGACCTACATGTACAGTCGGGCCACTAAATCAACAGGTTCACAGATGATGGCATACATGTACATGTGTACTGCGCACCAATGAATAATCTAAATTATAATGTGTAACGTATGGTGCACACAATTCAGAATACATAGGAAATATTAATAATAAGCGGTTGGTACACACTTTTCATAGAATTATTATACATACACATGTATGTCTAAAACAAACAGACCAAGGTTAATATTTCAGGAGAAAGACTAATTCTTTTGAACAATGCAGTTCATCAGTCCGGACACATCACAGCGGAATCCTGCAGGATTCTACTGGCTCCATATTTCTATTTCTTGTTGTGATTTAGCAAACCAATCAGCAGCAACGTTCTTGTCTCAAAGCATGTACATGCACATGTATAAATCATTCATCCACCAGACCTAGATGCACATAAACACAGACATGGAAACGACCGTGTTTCAGCTGAAAACGCAGTGCTGTCTATTCCTGTTTTCATTCAGTAACTCCAAATGTTTCCATGTTGTCATTAGTTCTGTAACCCTTTCTGTGCAAACATTGACATGTACAGCATGTCCTTGTCTAATGCGCGTACAAAAGGAAATAAATGTGCCTGGTCAGTCTTAAATGTTCATTTCAGGAAAGTGCACGGATAATGTCTGTACTAAAAGCGACAGACATTATCTACATCCATTCTCCTGAGCTAGTCTTTAAGCAAGCCAGTCAAGCTATAAATTCCCATTCATGAATATCTTTTGAGTCACAAAGTCAAAACGAGTTTTCAAAAATAAAAAATTTCCACCAATTTTGCTCGACAATTTTTATGACACTTTTCTCCGACAACTTCTCTAGCCAGGTTACATTGCATGTTCCTCTTGCAAGAGGTCATATACAATCTCCTTGTATGGAGATTGGCACAAACATGACGTGTACTGCCTGAGGTAGTGAACGGCCAGCTCAACCATTTCAGATCATTCAGGTGACAGGCTCTTCACCAATAGGAATGGCAAAACTGTCTTTAAATATATTGATGAATGACAAGTGCAGCATTGAAATAATGCATTGCACACAGGAATAAATGTACACGTACATGTACACATGTACGCATGCACATGTACTTCAAGAAGTTTGGGCTTCATCTACACAACTGTTCCAGATCCAGCCAGACATTGTACGTTACAAACTAACTGAACCCGGAAATGTCATTTACAAATCCTGTCTCACCTAAACTGACCTTTAAATGTAAACATTAAAAAAGAAAAACCCCAAGGGCACATTATCTGTCTGATTGCTTCAAATTGCTTCCTGTGGTTGAGAAGATCCAATTCCAGCCCAGTGGTAAAAAAAACTAATCTGATTAAGGCTGCTGCAGCAGTTACCAGGTCCCGTGTGACTTTTGAACTTACGACTGTTCAGGTTTATCGCTCCGTTCTGTAAGATTTACCAATTCAATCAGGGAACATTGCTCGCATAGGGAACATTCCCCGAATTGCAAATGTCCACCGAGCAGCACATTTAATGCACCTCTGTCAGCGCTCCGCCTCATTTAATCAGAGGGAGGCAGCCATGGGCTTGCAAATGGAGCCATGGCTGCAGGTGCGCTTCAGAATGGCGACAGGGAGATGATCCCATGATAATGCCATGTGCTAAGTACACATTCCTTCCTTTTGAGTGCTTTAATTTGCTCAATTGGGTGTGCAAATTGGAGCTAAAGAGGCAGCTCTAACCCTAACCCTGGCAGCTAAAAACTGCCTCCTGTCCATATTTCAGATACTGCTGCAACATTATTTGATACATGTACTGTACATCTTTTGGATATCAATTCTGGTGAAATTTTGTATGCAGTGTGGTACATGTGCATACCTTCTCGCCAAAGTAAACTTTTTTGATGTACAGTGCACAAGTGCAGAAAACAGTGCCAATACATAAATGGTTCTGTGAACAATACTAATAACCATAACTATGAAAAACTTGTCTCCCTGAGCAGCACTGCTGCAAATGAATGGCATAAAATCTTCTCAGTTCTTGTTGGCTTTAAATCAAACCTGTCAGTGCAAATTCAGATCTGAAAGCTGTGGAATTCTATCCTCCACTTTGCAATAATACGGGAGCACACAGTGACGGAACATTTAGTACAAAAACTCACTGAAGACTTCAGATGGACTTTTACATTGGGGTAATGTGTTATTACCCTTGACCACCATTATTTTATAAACGTGAACATACCAATCTAACATTTGCTGATATACCAACAATTGGGTGTATTAGTTTTTGCTTCTGGGAAAAATGTTGAAAATTAAAACCATTGTTAAAGTACCACTACCATTTAACTAGTGACATACACATCAAGACAGAGAAAAGCTTACGTTTTTCAGTAGATGGTGGTTGGTCATTTTGATTTTCTTCTGCCCACGTAAACAGGATCAAAAGGAAGAAAGAAGAATATGAGTAGTGAGAAACAGGAAATGTTAATTTTGACACATTCAAATACAGAAAAACACAATGCCAAATGTTTGCATTTCTCAATTTCTTAAACTGATTTTTTGGGGGGTAAAATTTACTTCTTTGTATAAAACTATAGTGTGAAAACTCAAGCGTTTGCTGGCCACAAGTGACTCAAGTGATCTTTGAATGACATCCTCAAAGTAACTGCAAGGACATCTAGAATAATGGAAGCCTTATCTTTAGAAACGCAAACTTTGGATCTTTAAAGACAGAATACCGTAAAATGCATACATGTACAACACAATATTAGAAATTTGTTATGTGGAAACATAAAGTAATTAGTCATGCTGAGCTGTGAAAGTAAAAAAACTTGCAAAAAGAAGTTAGCACAAAAATGACAGACAAAAGCAAGGCAGATAAGTGAGAAAGAAGCCAAGAGATTACTGTAAGTGGTTACACAATTTTGACCAATTTAGTTTTTAGAGGTGGCCAAGAGGAGATATTCGTTTGATTTTTATCAGGCAATTGACACACAGTGTCCAGAAATGTTTGTTAATGAAGGATTATTCTAAGCTGAGTTAATCATTCTAACAGAACCATTTGCACTGTGCAAACTGTCCTTTATAGTAAGATATGCAAGCTTGATTTTATCATGTACAAATCAGACAGGAATGAGTCACACTGCTAAATAAACGTGTCAACATGTACATGTGTAGATGTGTTCGGTGCATGATTGGAACAGTCAAACCATAGAATTACGGAAATTGTACAAAAATTGAACAGCCAGATTTACTGGTGTTCTTGTGTTAGGATACTGACAAAAGCGTACGAAAGAAGGAAGAACTTGGTTTCACAGGTATATAAGCACACTGAAGATCTGATCGTACATATGATACGCACATACTTTAATTGAAGTTGATTGGTGTGAATCGCCCATGTTCAACCTACATACATTCATGTACATGTACAGTGCATTTACTGTAAATGGCAGCAATGTTTTCCATGGAAAGGACTTCAACAAAGTGACAGAAATGTCTTGGGTAGCACTACATGGGCATACCTACATGTACGCATCTACATGTATATGGGCAGTCTGCTGTGCAAGTCTGTTTTACTTGTACAGTACATGAATGTGTCTATGCTATCCTGAGTCTTAAGGCATTGGAGGGGGGATTTTTCTGAATCCTCTACAATCCCTCCTTAGAAGGACCCAAACAGAACACAATCTCTGTTACACATTCAACATGTTCAACCCGTACACAAGAAGCTGGACGCAGAGTACGGTCCAAGTTATAATAGTACATGTACATGTAGCTGTGCTTTACCCTTCAACGGAAATCCTGCAAAATCCCCCCAAATCCTCTTGTAAGATTTTAAAAACCAGGGAGGCTTGAAGTTGATGTACATGTGCAATGTATAGTAAGTCCATGTACATGTAATTACCTGACAGTATACTGTACAAGCACACATGCATGTACATGTACATGGACTGTACAGTGTGGTATTGTCTGGAATTATTGTGTCCATGCAACAACTGAAATGGATCTTTCTGCATAATGTAACACTACACCAAATGCACAATGCCTGCAATGGGGGCGTGCTATCACATGGCGTACCACAAATAAACACACCAAAACAGCTTCCAATGTCACATGCAGGCCTTAATGACCACACCAACAGAATCATGCACAGAATGCAGACATCTCATTTAGGGCCTATCCCTCCACGACACACTGCATGAAATCTACTTCATATGACACAAGTGCAGGAAGATTGCATATGACACACTGATACATGTGTTAATTGTACGTGTTCTACCTACCCATGTACATGTACTACGTATGCACACACTATTCCTCCATGCAGACGTGCAATACACTGTGTCAGTTCAACATGGGCCCGTCTTTAGCTCCTTTTAATTATGCCCGCCTCATATAACCCTGTGAGTGCCTTTCATTGGAAATTGACTCTGCCATCCCAAATGTCACCATAACATTGACACTGCTCTGCAATGCAGAAGAACGTTTCACGTTCTTCGCGCATTAGGGCCAACTCCCGTGGGAGGCTGGCGTAATCGTCAGTTAATCCCTGCCAACGGTGATGAAGAATTTGTACGTACATTCTCAATGCCGTAGCAGGATGTCATCAATGGAGACAGCTACATGTACTTCTCTCTTTCCAGAAACACAAGTGAATGCTCAACTGATATTTGTATCATAACCACATGTAAACCTGACAGTATACGGTAGGCCCCCTATGTGGAAAAGTTTGTATGAATATACAGTACGTGTAAATGAACTAATATGCATCGGCCTGCATGAAATGAAAATGATCATGACCAGACTTAAGGCACATGTACAACAGCTGTTTGAGGATGCATGCGTGGTCTTTGTTCCAGTACTCTGTACGAAAAAGGATAACAACTCATCTGTCTCAATTGCTTCAATAAGATACCGGCATTCGTATCACCTTTTTAATGACAAACCCTAAGCAAAACTACGACAGACAACCCTTCAGCTGTCACCAGAAGACTAAACTGAAAATGAATTTCCTAATTAACCCTACATGTAGCTCCATAGACATGTTTGCTAGGATCATGCAAGCTGTCCTACAAATTCCTCCACCTGTCTCCATTTTCAAAATTTGGATACTGCCTCAATCCTTCGGGATCCCATCACAATCCTAGATTATACCGGTATGTTGAGGCAGTGCAAATGATCTTCTGGAGCGGTGTTAATGATTTCGAGTGTAATCTGGACTTAAATTTATGCAGCTTGCCGAGTATTAACAACACATAAGGTCTTGCCCAAGACCCCGACACACTGAATATTTCATCATCAGTCACACGCGGACATGGGGCCCCAATCCTTCAAAATCCTCCATTTATGCGAGAAGGATGTTGGAGAATTTGGAAGGTTAGGTTTAAAGATTCTAGCAAAGTATCAGTGAAGTGTAGATTTCCGGTATGTTCCAAATGCACAATCTTTCATGCAAATTAAGATTCACTGAAAATAATGCGCAAAACAAAGAGGCAGCAGTATCATGAAGATCATATACTGAACGTTTCTAAAATTGATAAAAGTTGTCAGTCTTTGTAACTGAAAATCCCATACAGTTCATCAATGGAAAAAAGTGAATACAATGTGAGAGCTGAGACTATAAGGATGTATCAGACAAACATGGATTGCTGGAAGTGCAGGGTGGGGATGGAGAATGGGTGAATCACGATCAGGCCAACCTACCCGCCCCTCTGGAAGGCTGAGCCAGACGGCTGCCCACGGTGGGGTTTTGGATAAGCCTGGGTTGAGGTGGTGATGACATGGGTGACTTCTGGGGACTAGACAGGTCTACGCCTGTAAACTGACCGCCACTGCCGTTGTTGCTGTTTCCGCCGCTGTTGCTGCCACCACCGCTCCCACCGCTGCTGCTTCGGTGGGCTGAAGTGCCACTCTGGATGGTTGCTGCCGCGTCAGACAAGGATGGGCCGTCCCTCAGCATGTCCCGTAGGTCCTGCTCAAAGGTGTCGTCTAGGTCGTCCTCTGGCTGGTAAGTACCGTTCTCTGTGGTCATCGCTTGGACTTAGGTAGATACGGTGCCACACAGTTTTCACCTGGATGAGTACAAAATGTGAAAGCGTTGAGCGTCATGTGCTGGACTGGTTATCCACCAACTACATGTACATGAATCCTTTAGTGTTCTCCGGCATGTCATTACCTTGCATACAAATTTTGAAGTGTTTTGGCATAAGGTACACCGGAGCAAAAGTTAAACAACCGACATTCATACATGTCATTCAACAGCTCTGTATGTACGGAATATATATGTACATGTATGATTCAGGTGTTTCATACATTTCAAGCAAATTTCTGCATGCAAAACCTTCACCAAGTGTAGTGCCTGACCATACACACATACATATAGGTCCACATCTGTACAAAACAGAGGCACACAATAAAAGACTAATATTATCTGGTCATCTGCAAAAAAATCTGTTGAAAAAGTTGGGTCCAAAAAATGGTCCAATGAGGTCTGGGCTTTTCCAAATGAAATTTCAGAGGTGGCAATTGGTGAACCTTACTCTTCAAGACAATACAGGCAACTTGGGGATTGGTTAATACAGCGCATATAATTGCACGAATGCACATATGGTACAATGTTGTAAATACAGGAAGTTTGTTTCATGTACATAACGGAAGCAAGGAGAACTTAAAGAACTTATCATATACTTAAGTGGTGCACTTTCCTACCACGGGTACCCTTCATTCCACACTACATCATTCCTATATTTTAAGCACACACACAGTTATTTTTACAGCTGATAGCAACAAACAAGACTAACTGCACAATCTACAATGAATACATGTGCAACATGAGCATGAACGTGGCCCAACCCCCAAATGTACATGTACATCACACAGCACACCATGTGCCTTTGCAGCTCCATTAAAATTTTCAGTAGGCTGTGACATTTGTAATATTCACCTATGTACAGTACATGTATCCATGTACTTACAATACATGAACCTACCGTACATTCTCCTATCATGCCTATTGCCATGTGATGTAGCCAAAACAGCCATGGTAACACTGAACTCTATTATGTACTCAAGCCCAGCTCTCTGACCTTTGGACTATTAGTAAGCATGCACACATATGAGCTGATGAATGGGCAAAACTGAGGAAAGCACAGATGTACAAACATGCAAGGGTACATATACATATTACACCCTGAAAACGATGTCACTCAGCTCGAGAAGAATTTCATTACTGGCCCTGTCTGGAAACCACAACCAACCTCATTATGCAAACGTGTTTGTACATGTATGCATATATGTCCCTCTGTGAAATGGCACATGTGTACCCCCACATACTGATATACGATGAAATAATGAACTTAACATTTAAGCCTACCTATGCATGTCTGGCAGTGCAGGGAAAGTATCAGAATATAAATGTATTCATTATTTGTGTAAGCAACTGAGTGTACAGTAGGTGTGTACGTACACGTACACAATATTTTTTTGTAATAAGAAGACCCTGCTTGGTTAACACAGCTAAGAACTGATAAACTGGCCAGTTTTCCGAACATTATGAGGAGGAGCAAAAGATGTACAGTAGATTAGCCAAGACTGCTTGTTAAAATTTTTTTGAGAAAGTGGTTTTCAGATAAATGTACAGTAATTAAGCTACTGATGCTCTTTTTAAATTCTACAGCACTGTCCTGCTCCCCAAAGTGATTGTCTTCTTAAAAACGTACATGTAGTGCTAAAAGTAGAAGCACATGTACTGTACATGTACACGTACAGGTACATGTAGGCCTTTAAATGTACCACTGAACTAAATAAAGCATACATGTGGGACCAGTCTTCTGGACTACCTGTACTTTTGGACAGGCCTATTTTCTACATGCATGATCAATGTAAAAACCTATATTCTTCTACATTATCACTTAACCAACAGGCATTACACATTTACATCAAAACTGCGACTACCTGATTGTTGTTTTGTTTTTGTCTTTGTGGGTAACGATCCAGCAAAGTGTGATTTTCTGTACGTGTACACAGCAGATGCTCAGAATTTAGGCCAAGTTAAATACAAATACCGGTAATTAGATATTTCAAAGATACTGTATGTAATACAAAACTGCTGCAAACTGCTTGCTGACTACAATGACCTAAAATACAAATCTCAAAATAATATCTGAATATACTCTACATGTACATGCATTTGACCTTCCATTAGAACAGGTATTGAGATGGATGTACCAAATTCCCACAAACACATGAATGAACATCACACACGGCGCAGCACATGTTGCGCGTCTCGCCTGATGTGTGTTTCCGGGTCACAACAGCAGACAGGACAGTCCCGCGATCAAAACAACATAAGACGTCATCCCCTGCCACCGAAAATGGTCGAGCCAAGATGCGGAGCAAATGCGGTCATTGGTGGGCTCAATGCATGCGCAGTCTGATAAACGTGAGCGGCATGAATGGAGTGACAGTCAACGGGTGGAAGTGAGAAATTGGTGAGCAAAAATCTCATTTTTTTCCACAAATACTTCATCTCATGCTCTGAAACTACTATTATCGCCTTCTTAGCAGATAGAGATCAAGCAGATTTGCTGACGGGAAAATCTGGTTTAGGCCTAGGCCTAATAGCTTTTTTATGGTTGCAAACCATTTCACCACACAAATTCAATTCCGAAACCCCATAGCATTACCACGCCATGCACACGTAAACCTTCTTGCCTCGAAGGCACACGGAGTATCATGGAGTTAGTGACTTCAAGTTCTCGAAGTAGGGCAAAGTATGGTTTATTTTTATATGTAAGTACGTGCAGGGTAAACTAAACTTGTGTATGACCATGGTCGAGGTAGGAAAAGAGGCCTACTGATATGATTGACGAGAAGTCTTCTGGACCAATTTCCAATGAAACCTTGGCATAACTTCAACATCCTCCATAAAATGACTTCTCAATCATTTAACTGTGTAGGCCTAAAACTGTGGGCTACCCACCTGTCCTTGACCTTGTTTAGCCTACAACAAATTTCAAGTCTAGGCTTAGGCCTACGTCACTACGTGTACATGGTCTACTAGACTGGTCGTCATGATTGTAAAATAAATGCTTTAAAAAGACACAAAAACGTAGGCAATGGTAGGGGTCCTACAAGTCAGGATTACCATAAAATTTCCAAAATTACATGAATATTTTAATACTCCGGTCACCGGTCTTCTCTCGCTTCATGCATCTTCAACCACGTGACCATGTCGACGTGCAACCTGGAAATGCAACGAACAAATTCAACATCCAAGCCAGCTTTAACATGTTTAATTAGTTACCAAAGCACACTTACCAAAATCAAGAAATTGTGGATTACGCCTCGTCAGCGTAGTCCGTAGAATCCTGCACTTTCCACCACCTCAAATTAGATTCCAAAATGCTAAAATTCATTCACACCAAAACGATGAAAATGCCTTAATCACCCCTCCTCTTGCGGCTCTCCTCCCAGAAAGTCGTGTTGTCAAGATCCGGGAACTCGTGAGCGATGCTGTCATCGCTGGTGACCTGCTCATTACGTTTTTAATCACGCGTAGATTTGGTAACCAGTGAAGGCATTTGGTCAAAGTTCTGGTACCTAGGTAATGATAGTGAACGGCAATATTGCAAGGGGATCTGATTATCTTTTCTTCCTCCAACTCGCCCCAACTTAAAGTGAACATTAGACAAATTGGCAAGGGGCGAATGAAGATAAAGTAGCAGACGACACAGTTTATTAGTCCACTTTCGTCAGAATTTCGGAGGCGGGCTGAATACTTGTGTTTTTTCATGTGCACTACTTTTATCTGGTTATACCCCATGGCTATAATCTGCTGAAGTAGTGCTTTTGCTCCAAAATGGATGAATTTGCTCGGAGAAATGTAAGTTCCCCTCGTCGTGGCATGCATCATGGTCCTACTCGTCATGCTCGTACTCGGTCATGTCAGTTATTATCGGCTCGCGCGTTTCTTCAGTGCAGCTGCAGCCAGCATGGCCAGGGCCCATCATGCTCACAATCATGAAAACATATTAGGTCTATTTGCCATAATTTGGGACGAAGAGTAATGTTACAAAGGTTTCCCCACTGGCACGTCTAGCTCAACTCAGCCAGCTTCCCCACTTGCATGACTTGCAAACTCAGAAAATGGGAGGAATTCTACGGTACTATTACCATGGAGAAATAAAACAATTTCTCCATGCTATAGTATTACTAGGCCTAGGCCTATGTAAAAAAAAATCCAGCTGGGTTTGAAAATCCAGTTTGGCGGAAGAGCCTGATGTTGTAATTATCCAGTCATTTATTTTTAATGTGTTTACTGCACCTACATATATCAGTTGTTTCCTGGGGCAGCCTTTCCGTGTATATGTAGTGTAAGGGCAATGCCATTGAAAAGTGACCACCCTAACCTATTTCATTCTCATGTACCGTACTATTTATTACTGTGCGGAGAAGATTAACAGTTTCTTTTCTAACAATAATAGACTCAAATATGAAACTGGTGTTCTTAACTGATGTCGTTTTTGTTTGCAGCTGAAGGATTTTTTGACCATGTACAACCAGTTCACAGAGCTTTGTTTCAACCACTGTGTCCAGAATTTGAATTACAGGCACTTAATACCAGAGGAGGTACGTGTAGGCCCTACATGCTATCAATCTCTCATCTTGCTCAAAAGCTGTTTATTACATGTAACAGCGGAAATAGCAAAGAAAATCAGTGTATAGATAAATACAGAACCAGTTTTCATGAATACCTGCATTTTGTGTGATAGACACTTTGTGAAAGTGTTTGACTTCATGAACAGTGACCAACTATATATCGACTTAAAAACTGGTGATAAAATGAGTAGTACAAAGTTAGCTCAGTTAGTTCCCTAAATATGCTCTACGGTCAACTTATAATTAGCTGTATACTGTCAATGGTATTAGCTGATGGTGGATAATATATATTGTGTATTTCCCAAGTAGGTTGATAAAGGATGTTTTCCCATAACTAAAATTCTAAAACGCATCAAATGTTTTGCCTTGCCTAGGAAGTATGTGCCAACAGATGCGCGGAGAAGCTGATCCATGTCAACCACCGTCTGATCAGCACCTACATGGAAATCAACCCCCTGCATAAGCAGGCCGCTGCCCTGGAGGCTGCCCAGGCAGAAGCAGCATCTTCCCCCATGGGGGAACCCCTCAATCTGGCTGGCCAGGTGCAGAAAGTCTTTGGCCCGGACGCGGTGGTGACAGATGGCAGCCACATTGCAATACCCGTTGATGGGACCCGGACTGCTGATGGGGAAGCAAGGGACGTACAAAGTGCTGGTGTGATGGAACCTGGTGCTCACATACCACAGGATAGTCAAGTTAATGTGGGTATAGAAACTGCAGCATCATAGCAAAAGCGACAAGGATTTTTTACGATGTTTATGCAAACTTGATTAGTAACAGTTCAAGTCTGCCACCATAGAACAACTAGGACACGTACTATCGGGTGGCCAACATGCAAGTGTTGGTTACTGAACACTAACTGGCCTTCACATGTCTGGTCTCATGTCTATCATATGATGGTATCAGGTACATCAACATACTGTAGATGGACACAGAACCTGCAATCCTGCATCAGTGCCAGTTCTTTAGCTTAAAGGAAAGGGTACCCTGTTGATTCCTTCTAGAATAACAAGCCTGAAGTTAGAACTTGTAAACTTGACAAATTTTACCTTCCAATGTTGTAAGTGCTCTCTAACCAGACTGAAAATTCCAGTCATACGTAATAATGAAGACAACGGTACTTGTCAAATGCAAGTTCACTTGTGGCACCCCCCCACAAACATACCCCAATGAGCCTTCAAGTTGACATCCTTCAGCCCTCCACCCCTTCACAGGGTTCCCACAGAAATCTGATAACCAAATTCTGTGACTTTTCCAGGGCTTTCCGGGGCTAAAATATGACGATGTCCATGACGTTAAATGTTATTTAGCAAAGAAAAGTTTGGTATTATGGAGTGCAAGACCACCATAGCCACTTACCCAATGTATTATAAAAACTGTATACTCGGTGCTTGCCGAGAGCTTGCAAGTAAATTCACCAGCTTGGCTGGCTTGGGGTTAGCTGGCCGGGCCGAGTCAGGTATAGCAGCAGGTACCGTGAACCGTTTTCAAGATGTACTTTGCATTGGGGAGATGATCATTTTAAATGACAGGTTCGTTTTTTTTTTTTGCCCTAACCCAACGTACATATTTATAAATGCTGTATTCTCAGTACTTGTCCAAGAGCTTGCAAAAAAATTCACAAGCTTACTTGGGTGGGACTTGAACCCACAACCTCCTGCTTACTAGTGCAGACATCTGCACCAGTAAAAACCCTGTAATTTAAAATAAACATCTCCCCAACCCAAAGTACATCTTGAAATCAATTAAAATTGGTTTTCTTTTAAACAAGCAAATGCACCTCTTCATGAAAATACTAAAATTCATGTGACTTGTCTACTTGTGAAAACGCGTACTGTTTTGCTATAGGGCAGGCCAGGTGCAAAATTGTTACATTTGTATACATTCGCTGCGTCAAATTTGCCTCTTTGTGAAAACGGCGAAACGAGTTTACCCATGGATTTGCCCTTCATAGCCAACGCTATATCTATGGAAGACAAATTCACCTCTTTGTGAAAATGCAAAATGCAGAATAATTTGAATTTGCCCCAGGTAGATCGTGATTTGGCTGATTTCAGTAGATTTGGTAACAAATCATAACACCAAGTTGTAGGCATGGAATTACTTAGTTGATTTTGCCCCAGAACAGAAAGTTGAAAAAAATCACGATTTCAGGCCAAGGTGCCTCTTTGTAAAAACGGTGATGAAATACGCTTATGTCCATTCTGGCACACAGTCAGTAACGTGAACATGGGTGGCAAAAATTTGAAGCAACCCCAAAGTGACCGTTCAATCATTGTGCTGCCTATATTTACTTGCTGTGGAGTCAAGAAATTATTGAAAAACTTCTTCTACATGTACATTGTGTGCATGTTTAACAACCAAACTGTTGTTTAGTAATTGGACATCCTCAAAACAAATATACCTTTGTTATTGCCCTGGCCCTCAGGTGACATTTGCCTCTTGGGTGTAAAAAATACCATGGACCGCTTCATAGCAGATAATTGCAAAATTCTTAGGTGTGACCTGGATAAATGCTGGAAAGTAATTTTTTTTTATAAAGATGACCTTAAAAGCAAGACGTGAACGCATATCAGGAAACAGAGAAACCATACGCAGTGATGTAACATTATAAAGTTTCAATATTTATACATTTACAAGGCCTCCAAAATTTTGCACACTTACAAACATATCCTGATGAATGCTAGATTACTGAACTTGTTCAGAAAGGCATTTAAATGACATATTTGTAATCACACATTGTTTCAGAAAATTACACCACACAAATTTCAGATCTCTATGCAAAACATTAATTTGTGAACCCAAAAATGAAATGAGCATGTATTAACAACAATACATTCAAGGAATACATTTTTTCTTCCTTAGACATCTATTAACAGACTAGCAAATCTTCAATTTTAGGGCACTTCTATAAATCAATGAGTCAACTTACAGGTCAGGTATTTGAAAAAGGGACAAATACTGATTGAGAATAAATTTGTTGCATGTCATATGAATGGGCTGTAGTTTGAAACAAGAGGATGACTTGTAAAGAACTTATCTGGAATTGGTTTCAGCACCGCCACAAACAGTCAAATGCCATTCCTTAATGGTATACAAGCCATGCAGTAAACGCTCGCTCAAGGGCAAGGCACTATTACAGTCCTAAGTAGGGGCACCTGGTGTTTCCAAACTTCCAACTAAGAACGGCACTGGGCAAGTTTGGCACAAACCACAGTTTGCCCACAAGTCAATTTTTTTAGCAACGCGTAATGAGAATACAATTACACTTGAACGTTCCTAGTCAAACTATTTTGTAACATATCAGTATTACATTCTGCAGTTGGCTGCAACTCTTGCTGCAATTACGGTCAGTGATATCTCGTACAATGGACCTTTCCCATGAAATATGCCAATTAGACAGGTGCATGCATGCTACCACCACTGGTTTGCAAAGTTGCTTCAATCTTATGACGTAAAAATACAGATTTCCATGCATGCACAACTGTGTGTACATACATGCTTTTTCTGGACTAGTATAGTTTGATATGAGTACCAAACTTAAAGACAAGGAATTTTCATACTTTCCGACCTCAGGACAGTGAAAACTTCCCTTAGTTTTGAGAAAAGCGTGCTGAAGTATCAGACAAAGGCTGTAATACGGTTTTGATTGACCTTCAATGCGCCAGGTTATGGTTACAGCATTTCTCCTACACTGCCAACAGTGTTGACAGTCGTGCTTGCCAACCAGTGGTAGTTTCACACATGCGCCTGTCTATGTTGCGTATTTCACGGGAAAGGTCCATTATTTTCATGTACATGTAAATGGTTCCCTCCATACTGATAAAAATGAAATCAGCTTCTAACAAGCAGTGTGACTATGCCCTAAGGCCTGGTTGCAAATGGTCAACTAGATGGTCGGAACCATCCAATTGGTCAGGCAACTTTGGCTGAACTATGGTCAACTATTGTCCTCGCTCAAGCTTGCTCATGGAATGCTCCAAATGTATGGAGTTTTAGGGTGCTCCCTCATGCTGTTCACTGGATTGTAGCCAATGGCAACACCAAACATTAATTTAACTCTCCAAAAATCAATATGGGCTGTCAGCTCCCTCAGATCAAGTAAAGAGCGGACCAATTTTGCTCACTCCACTGCCTTTACGTGGCACTGGGAAAGGCAGATGCCTTTCACATAATTTTGTGAAGGAAACTGATCACAGCTATCCACCTGGAGCAAAAGCACCCCCCTCTTCGGTTGAAAACAGCCATGTTGGTGGGAGCATTAATCTTGTTGGTAGCAATGCAACTGCAACACTTGCATGTCATAGTCGTTCATGAACCAGCTAGCAAAGTGTCATTCCCACCAGATTTGCAAAGGAGCCTTTGTTGCTAGAAAAATCACACCTTCTCTTGCTCCTGCTCAGGGCGGATAGACATCCACAACATTGTGAGTTACTTCCTGTCCTGATCCATTCAATGCATGTGTCGTGTTGACCCTTACTATTATTCAAATAATCTCAAGCCACTACATTACATCCTGAAATAGTTGCCCTTCCAGATAGCCCACGTGGGCAGTGGGAACAAACAATCTAACCAATAACCACCAATGAAACACCCCACCACCCCAAAAAAAAACCTAGCACACAAGGCCACCATACACACACGAGCAAAATTTGGCAGCTAGCTAAACCTACACTTACACTTGTAACCCACCTGAGTAAAACTGATTCTCTGTAAAGCGTAATTTGAAAAATTACAAAAATAAAACTCCAAAGCTAATAAAACTGAATACATGTTGTATAGGTCACTGCAATATTAACCCTGCCAATCCTCACTCCTTCAATTTCAATATGATTTTAGATACTGCCCAGGGTTCAAGACGTAGCCTATGGGGCTACATGTACACATTGTAATCCTGAGGCCTAAAACCAAAACTAATGCAAACCAACTAGTAAGTGACTTATCCTGCTCGAAAAGGAACACTGTTTGTGGGATTTCTGCATGTATCTAATACAGTAATAGCAAACCGAATCCACACACATGCCCTTCAAGGGAAACCGAAACTCGGATTCAAATACAATGCAGCTCTCATTTACTCAAAAAAAAAAATCGTTTTAGTTTTCGAAGCTATTGTGTCAAAAGCACAAAGGCATAACTGAATTACACTTGGTCCTTTGATCAAAACAGAACCGACAAAGGAACATCTTTCCAGAAAATAAAAGCTCTTCAAGAATACACCTAAACACTGTTAGCTCTTAAAATAAATGGAATAGACTGATCCAGTAAGCTCCCCCCTCCCCCCACTGAGAATGTGAGCATTTGACTCTGTAATGCCAGACTGTTCCAGCCCGTGTGGCACACCCACGGGTATGCATGTCTGATTTTGTGTATACACAGTGGACACACATGTACATTACAGCTATGACTGGTCAGAACACATGGGGTGGGGCTTAATGAATCAATCCTTTCTAGAAATTTGCTTAATGATTACGTAAAAAGCACATGCACCATCATATGTAACTCATACGTGTACAAATGAAAACTTTTTGGCCCACTGCACAAGTATTAAAGCTTCCATTGGTATATAAATCACTACAACTTCACAGTATGTACACAAAGTGTATAAATACAGGCAAGAATGTAAGAAAAGTCTTCATGGGACCAGCTAAATCAAGGTGTTTTCTGAGCATCTGAAATTTGGAATGTTTGTCAACTCCAATGGAGATGAATGCAACCCTAAATGAGTGATGTTCCAATATATTTGCCAGAACCTAGTCTTTTGTGCAATATGCTACCCTTTTTCGTTCATTTGCAGTATAAACCGCCTGAAGCAAGTAAACTGACCCATGCACTCTGTCTCCTGTGACATGACGTTACAATTGGCAATCCGGATATGTATGTACGAGCAAAACTAACCTGGTTTACTACCAGCATCGCATGGCAAATGAACTAACGTTAGCACGACAAGCCTGCATGTTGAGCTGTTTCTGATTGGTTGGATGGATGGAACCTCGTATTTGCCTTGCGATAAACTAGGATTTGATGCTATAGCTCAGTGATAATGACTTGTGCACCTCCCAATGATTTCTGCAATTGCAAATTCACAGAAATTACTTGCTAGTGTCAAACAATTAATCAATGGGGAGTATTCATCACAGTTGAAATCGCGGCCCTCTACAGGTGGCACTTTTTTTTATCATGAACCAGTGTACAGGTCGATGCAACCATCTCTCAGTACCAGGGTCCAATATCACTACAGAGTTGTAGCAGAGAAAATATTCACTTCGCCAAAAAGGTTCCCAGCCACAATGTCATGTATGCTTCCTGACAAGTTACCTCCTGCAGCATTGGGCCTAGAGTTTTACAGGTAGAAGCTCAGGCATCAGGTTGAAAAACTTGGCCAGCATACTTCCTTGTTTGCAGGTGGAATCCTTTTATCAGGGCCGACATACTAGTAGATGCAACATACATTGTACTTTGGCCCCCCCGAAAAAGTAGACTTGGCCTGAGTCTGAATTACAGGATTTTTGGCTACGGCTGATCAAGCACACATGCCTATGGGAAACAGCCACAGCAGCTTCCCAGTGGCTTCCAAATCATTTCTTGTTGAAACCATGTGAATTCAGTGTGACCCTCATTCATACTCATTGGTGCTAACTTCAATACAACTTTACGATTACTTGGTGTTTCATCTTCATTCATGGTTCTACTTTTTCTCAGTCCTGAAGTCACTTGGTCAGTCACCCATACAATTTGAGAAAACCAACTAATACCAAAACACACACCTGCTTAAACTTTAATAAGTGGAGTATCTACATCAGAAAAAAGGCATCTTACAATCTGATACAATGCTATTTCTCAAAGAGTTCAGATTGTTAAGCAGCAAAGCTGATAAAACATACAATGCAGCCTGAAAGTTGAACCTGATGGTGTGCTTCCAAAACCCTTGAATAAGAAAAATAATGTGCAAAAAGGTTAGAATTTGCAATTTTTTTGTTCGTTTGCTTCTATTACAAATTCATCTTTGAAAAAAAATTTGTAAAATATTTGCCATCAGACTATTTTCTAGAAACTGAAAAGTTATCTATTGAACAGGAAAGAGAAACATCCTACCAAAATTGGACCTCTCGCTTCCAAAAATCTAAAATACACAAAGACCAGTGCAATTTGGTATCCTTGAACGCAAATGAATAGTTACGGAATTATTTTTAGGGTAGTCTTTCGATATAAGCTAAAGTAAAAACGTATCAAAACATTTTAATGTTTTACAATTTATAAGAAAATAAAATCCAAGGAATAATTTGTGTTTAAAAAGATTGTAAAGGTTTATCTAACCTTTAGTGACAAGAACACATCAGGTTAACTCGACTGAACCTACAATCCATTTACTGCAGGTAGGCAGGCACAATCTTGTTTTCACTCCAGCACATGAAGTGAAAGCAAACGTGCGTGAACAAGGAGACCGAGGAAAGATAATGCCAGATGTGAAAGATTATTAATGAAATTTCATTTTGCCCATCTCCAGGTGACGTTTGCAAAATATTACTTAAGGAACACGAAGATAAAATTCCAACATGAACGTTTCTTGGGGTAATTTCGGTTCGAAATCATTCTTCCAAAAATTAGCAAGCGTGGTAGGACGACCACATGTAAAAATCCCCAGAGGTAGACTGTGCAAGGGTTCTGGAAGCCCGCCGCATGACCTTTTCACTTTCAGGCTCCATTTTACTAATGTACTGATGCCACCAACACAGCAAGCAACAAAACGAAAGAGCTGAAAAGTGTACAAATTTCATTCAGCCAAATATTTAGCAACACTATTGGCATCGGCACACACCACACTGATGTCTGCGTCTATTTCTTTAGCTACAAAATTACTTAAATAGTGTGTGACTGATCTCCAAGCTTGAAATATAAGTACCCCCAAAAATGAAAAATGCCAACATTTGATTTCAATATAAGGTTTGTGTTTCAAAAGTCGATAAGGGACTTTGGAAATGTTGTTTCTTGGAATGAACCCGTATAAATAATTAATAAACACTGTGTTCTTACACATTTTTGCAAATCTATGGTTAAGTTTCCTGTATTAAGAACTTATTGAAGCTTTGCCTAAAGCACAAGTGGCTGCATCAAATACTGTACACAACTGCATCCTACAAGTGCAGACTTAAGGTGCCTAGTATTAATTTGTCCAGTTTACTCATGATTTCATGTGATTCAAATAATTGCAGAACAGTGCAAATGACAGAAAAATATATAGCTTAAATACGTGGAAACAAATATATCATTTATCTGTTGTGGCTGCACCAAAGCCACCATGCATGCTATGTACAAATTTAAAACCCTCTGTACAGTAAAGTGAATGCTGCTTCAAAGTCACTGGCTGTTCAATTACCAGTGGGCAAGTCAAGGCAAACCAATATGTGACCGCTGTACTTCTCAATTTGATGAGATGTTGAACTGTTCACTATTTCTGTGGTGATGAAACGCTTGCTGTTTTAGTCGTAATACAACAATGAAAAACCATTCCAAATCCAGCACATACTGTCTGGGCACACCAACTATACCGGCGATTCACAATAGCGTGCCACCAAGAGTTTGCAACACGCCGGCCAATCATAACGCGCAAAATTTGTCGACCATTTCACGCACTGTGATTGGCCAACGCATTGCCAACTCTTGGTGGCGCACTACTGTGAAATGGCCGTATTGAGTCAAAACTCCGATGCATCAGATAAAAAAGGACTTGACTTGGTTCTGCAGTGGGCTGTAGCACTATTCGTCTCGGAAACAGTTTGAGACACTGCATAATGTGTACCTGGAATTCAAGGTTGACCAAATGACAAACTTGCTCTTGTGTGTGCCAATTAAACAAGTCTGGACTCCTTCAGTTTTTCCCCGGCCTCCTCCTCGTGCTCCATCACTGTCACTGGCTGGTGCATAAACTGCTCTACTTTCACAAGTTCCCTGCACATGTTACTTTAGTTGTACTCCATGATATCAGTTTTTAGAAATCTAACCATTCCCAAAACAGCTGCAGGAAAGAACTGCTGTTTAGCCAGAACTGTGTTGCTGTGTCGAGCAAACTGAGGCGACTTGGTCAGTTGTTGGTCACAGGCGAATTAATTTGGACACCGGTAACAGAGGCAGCCTGCATAAGTATAATTCAGCGGAAAAGAGAAAAAAAATCAGATGACGGTACCGGCTTCCATGTCACTGGTACCGTTGCTATCCACTCTCAGGTCAGCCTTGGACCGGTTGCCGTCCAGGTCGGCCTTGTTCACCTGTGTGTCCACCAGCCGGAAGGCCTCCAGGAACTCATTGAAGTCAATGTAGCCATCCTTGTTGATGTCGATGCAGCGAGCCATGTCGCGTACTGTCTCCTTGGAGATGTCCGAGCCTACGTGCTTGCTGAGCAGGCTGCAGGCCTCCTCAAATTCATCCATCGTTATCGTACCTGAGTTGCAGAAACAGAAATGTCAAATAATCATAAACTTTATCCACAATGGGTAAAACTGTCAGTGTGGGACACTTTGGCATCATTTCTTTAACCACTTCCTGCCGGGGACTCTGGGATCGGAGACGTATGGTTTATATGGGTGGCCGGGGTCTCCGAACTCGGACAAAGGA